AGTACTACTCTATTCTAAGCTTTTATCAATTTAAGTGTCAAATAAAACTTTCACAAGGTGCAATCATTAAAATAATAACTCCATTTAAGACAATGAATGTCAATTGAGATGTGGACAAGATCATTCTTTTTCTTGTCTGATTTCTGTCCAAATCGCACCCACCCTTAACTTTTAAATTTTATATAGATATCAAATCAAGGCATAAAATCTTTCTTTTGAGTTAAAAAAAAAGAAAAAAGTACGAGTATATGAATATTGATCTGGTGGGTACGTCATTTTCTTGTCAAGATAAATAAATACATAGTAAAAAATAAGTCATAAAAGTGACTTTTTTTTACAAGATAATAAGTGGACTCTAAAATTCAGGGAAACCCAAATTCATTTTATAAAAATGATTAAGAACCAAATTTTAATCATTTAGTAAGAAATTAGGCCCTTAGGCTCTTGACTCTTGAGCATGAATTTGATGCAGAACTCTAATTATTAATAAAAAATAATAATAAAGCAGATCTTTGCATAATGGACAAAAGGAAAAAATAAAAAAATAGAATAAGTGCATGATCGAGGTCAGTCCACTTTGCCACTTTGTTGCATCAGTAGTTATTTCTGAAGTGGTAAATAATCAGGTGTACTACAATAGCTCATTTTGAAGTTATGACCATGCCGCGATATTAGTCGCAAACGTGGTGTAATAGATTCGAATAAAATTAGTATAAATTGATAGAATCGATAGGTATAAAACCCTTCAAAAAGAATTACGTATTGACCGATACGATGAATAACTAATGACATAATTGATATGATTTAACACATACCAGGGCATAGTTGAAATGAATTAACACATACAAGGTATATGAAAATTGCTAGATCCATATTTAGTGAGCTGGTCCCATGTATGAACTGTCGTAGTTATTTCTGAAGTGGTAAATAATCAGGTGTACTACAGGAGCTCATTTTGAAGTTATGACCATGCCGCGATATTAGTCACAAACGTGGTGTAATAGATTCGAATAAAATTAGTATAAATTGACGGAATCGATCGTATAAAACCCTTCAAAAAGAATTGCGTATCGACCGATACGATGAACAACTAATGACATAATTGATATGATTTAACACATACCAAGGCATAGTTGAAATGAATTAACACATACAAGGTATATGAAAATTGCTAGATCCATATTTAGTGAGCTGGTCCCATGTATGAACTGTAATAGTTATTCCATCTAAATTATTTTAATTTTAAACTTTTACAAATAAAACAATTCTCGAGCATTTGACTCCACCTTAATTCACATGGCTTGAATACGAAAATGGCACTTCACCTCATTCTTATTCTCCATCGTTTACAAACACCCTCTTTGTCTAGGCGGTTGTAAACTCTCCATCAAAATTCAACTGATGGTTTAGGGTTTTCTTTGCTTAATCTATAGTCTAATTTCTCAAATCATGTACATGTCTCCATCAAAGTCCCCATTTGAGAGTTCATTTACTAGAAGCCTAGAACACTTTTAAATAATAATATAAAAAATTAGATCTATTTAGTACGTATTTTGTTTTTAATATTTTCATTTATGTCGTGTAACAATAAATAGTGAAAAAAAAAATATATTATAAAAATTGTTTTATTTGTGTTTTGGCATATTCTATGCGACACGTGGCAGATTTATAATGTAGAATGATCTAGCCATTGGTGGCTCAGTGTCGTAAATTTGAAGCCTTGGTTTCTCTTGAGCCACGTGACAGACCAACACTTTCCACATGCGCCTGGTCTGGATCTACTGCGCAGCGCCATATGGCTTCCCCTGCTCCAACCAATTGTTTACATGTTCTTTCTAGACTTTCTATATTCCCATCAAAATATGCTTACCTGGCGAGAAAGTGAAATAGAGAGCAGAAAAGCGAAAGTAGTAGCAGAATTAAATTATAAATAATAAAAATTTAAGCAAAATCAGTAAACGCCCGCAAACCCTAAATACAATATCTATTAAAAAAGAAGAAAAAATTACATATAAATGGTGTCAAAGTTTCATATTTACTTAGAGATTGAGTCAAAGTTTCATATTTCTCTCAAATGGATTGCTGAGGTGGCACATGATTTTTTAGCCTAAAATGCCATTCCCTAACAAAAAAGTAGTACCTTCAGTTCAAAAAAGTAGTACCTTCGCGGGTGTTTAAAAAACATGGCACCTGGACGCCAAAAAGTAGTACCTTCAGTTCAAAAAAGTAGTACCTTCGAAAAAAAAGTAGTACCTTCGCGGAAGGGTATTTTAGGCACCACAATTTCTAAACAGTAAAAAATCATGTGCCACCTCAGCAATCCATTTTAGAGAAATATGGAACTTTGACTCAGCCTTTAAGTAAATATGAAACTTTGACTCTATTTATATGTAATTTTCCAAAAAAAAAATGTATGATTTAAATATTAGAATATGGACAAATTCTACTTGAATGATTTCTAAATTCATAATAAAGTTTATTTATCAATAGCTATTTCTTAAGACACACACACACACAAATTATTAGTTTAGTTTTTTAAAATTAGTTTTTTTAAAAAAATTGTATAAAAATATGTTTCAATTGCAGTAGGGTTTTTTTTTTTTTTTTTTTTTTTTTTTTTTTTTTTTCAGAACTTGAAAAATATTATACATAATGTAACATAAGCACAATGGTTTTTAGACTAACGATATATTTATATATTTTATTCTTAGGCATTCACAATCTCTTATAAGAAAGAATTTAGTTAAATTAATTTTTCAAATTTAAATTTTATTGAATTCAAAATTTGAAGAGTTATCTTATGTTATCTATATAGTCAGAGAGAGAGAGAGAGAGAGAGAGAGAGAGCATTACATGTGCACAATTGTATTTAATAGGAAGAACCGTATAGGCTTTACTTAATTTACGTGACACAAATCTTTTATTTGAAAATGAGGTGTTTGTTATAATATTTGCATTAATCTATCCTAAAATTGAAGGCATAATCTATGCTTCCGTACAAGAATATATATAATTTGTTTGTTTGGATGTAATTTTTAGAATTTAATTCTTCAAACTTTAAGTAAAATATTTTATCAAAATTTATAAAAAATAACTTGTGCTTTTGTTTAATTTTTTTTTTTTTTTCAGAACCTTTCTCAAACAACAAAAAAAATTTAAAAAATACAAATTTAATAAAAAAAGGTTTTATATTAAAAATATGGATTAATTACAATGACACCCCATAAGGTTTGTCTTAATTACAGCCATATACAAGTTAACCTCTTTTTGAACAATGAGACCCCTTCAGATATCAAAAACTTAACAAAGACACTCCTACCGGCTCTGACACAAGTTAAAATGACGTTATTATCCTTTGACTTTTGAATTATCCTAATTTTTTAATTAAAATAAGAAAATGTATCAACATGCCATTTTAGAACAAAAATACCCTCATCTTCCCTATCTCTCTCCACCCACCAAGTCCAAAATCAATATCCAATCAGTCCCTTTACAACTTCCATTGAATTTAAATTTATCTTCATTGATTTAAGACTCATCATTTCAGATGCTAAATTCACCGGAACTGTCATTGCCGAGCTCGGTGACTTACATTCACTCATTCTAAGCAATTCATCCATATCAAACGATTAGTTAATAAAGCCTAAACTTTATCCTTTCAACGAGAAGCCCATATACTTCTGCAACTCTCTCTCTCTCGGGCTCCAGCAACAGTGACGATGCTCTGGCAACATTGACTAGCAGTGGTGTTGGCATGATGGTAAGTACAGTCCAGTTGCCCCACTTCCGTATGAATCAACAACCTTCTCCAATCTGATTTTCACGATGGTGATTGCGGAAGTGGGGAAAGTCGTGTGTGGAGGTGATGGTGGTGTTGTGGTGGCGGCGGGGGGCTGTGGTCGGAGAAGAAAACGCGGATCACCATGGACGGCAACGATTCCCAGCCGACTGCCACAAATTCCCCGCCGCTGCTGCTGACGACGACGTCATCGTCAAACACTGCTGCCATTTCAGCCGCAATTCTTCTACGGGCCGATTCAATCCATCATCCACGGGCCGATTTAATCCATCACCACTGTCGCCACTTCAACCCATCGCCGTCGCCATCGGAACCAAGTTTTGGGAGGTGGTGTGCGCAGAGCACGGGATCGATTCCGATAGATCACGTGGTTGTGCGCATAGCACATGATGTGGAAAACGTCTGATCCGGACCGTACGACCAGGTCTTCCTCCCCGACAACTTCGTCTTCAGGCAGCCAGTCCGATCTCTTTAACACCAAAGCCATGATCACCTTGGCCAAGACGTCAAGATCATCGCTGCCAATTTGATCGTCGACGATGGTCGGTGGTGCTGGTCGTCGTCATCAATCAGTCGGATTTCGAGAGGGTTTGTCATGATCTAAGGGTTAAGGTATAAAGAGATTATGTCGGTTGAAAATAAGGCTAGGGTTACATAAGAGAGGTGAGATCTGTAGGGGTTAGAAAGGTGATAAAGGAGTTGAGAGGTTAGAGAGAGAAACGACAGAGAGAGTTGTGGTGGTTAGGTTTTCTAAGATGGGCATTTTAGTTATTTTATGATTCTAATATTTTCTCATCACATATTAATTAAATATTGAAAGACAATGTAGACATTTCATTGACAAAATTTGATATAAAACTAACAGGGGTATCATTGTTCAAAAAGAGATTAACTTGTATATGACTGTAATAGTGTCATTGTAATTAATCCTAAAAATATTTATTAAAAGCTAATAAGAAGAAAATATCACTGCACTTACCATAAAAATGTACGGATAATTATAAATACTACTCCATTTACTAGTTGACAAATTTGACTTTTTGTTTTTCTGTTTGACAAATTTGACTTGGTCTCATCACATTGTCACATGACTCACATGCATGAGTGCTGACATGGCGACTGTACTGCAACTAATCTATCCCGAACACACAGGATCATATCCATTTATGATCTCCATGGTTCCTTCGAAAAACTCCATTTCGTAAGTACATGCCGTCCCAGATCCTCCTGCTCATTCTCACAACGCACACACTCCCTCTTTCTCTCTCCGCACTTTCTCTCTCTACACTTTCTCTCTCTTAAAATGCAGTACAACAACCTCGGCCGTTCAGGCCTCAAAGTGAGCCAACTCTCCTACGGCGCATGGGTCAGCTTCGGCAACCAACTCGACGTCAAGGACGCCAAATCCCTCCTCCAATGCTGCCGAGACAACGGCGTGAACTTCTTCGACAACGCCGAGGTCTACGCCAACGGCCGAGCCGAGGAGATCATGGGCCAAGCCATCCGCGAGCTGGGCTGGAAGCGGTCGGACATCGTCGTCTCGACCAAGATCTTCTGGGGCGGACCCGGACCCAACGACAAGGGTTTGTCTCGGAAGCACATAATCGAAGGCACGAAGGCGTCGCTGAAGAGGCTGGACATGGAGTATGTGGACTTGATCTATTGCCACCGACCCGATTCGTCGACGCCGATCGAAGAGACGGTGAGGGCCATGAATTACGTGATTGATCATGGGTGGGCGTTCTATTGGGGGACCAGTGAGTGGTCGGCGCAGCAGATCACGGAGGCGTGGGGTGTGGCTCAGAGATTGGATCTTATTGGGCCGATTGTGGAGCAACCCGAATACAATTTGTTGTCTAGGCACAAGGTAAAGGAGTTTTTTTTTTGATGATTAATTTGTGGTGTTTGATATGGGTTGGTCTTTTTGGGAAATGGGTATGTTTTAATTTTGGATTTGATTGAACAGTACACTTTTGACTAGAAAATGATTAACTTTGAGAATTTTTGGTGGGAAGTTTATTTTTTATCTTTATATATTTTTTCTATGTAAATATTTGTTATTTGATGTTTTCTTTGTGGTGTTTGATATGGATTGGTCTTCTTCTGAAATGGGTATGTTGTAATTTGGTGAGGTACTGTTTTTTTCTCTTTCCTTTTTAAGTAATTTTTTTCTGGTAATAGCAATGAACTTGTTTCTCTGAATTCTGAATTTGATTTTGTGGTTAAGATATTTTGTTTTGAAATAAAAATTGGTGTGTATTGAGAAAGGACGCAACGCTAGTATGCCCTTTTGGGTGCAAGGCTGTGGTTAAAAATTTAATAATAATAGAATTACAAAGGTGTCTTATTTTAGTCCTATTTGATGTAGGCTTGTTAATGGATACAACTTGATAGTTTTTTTTTTTTTTGATAAGTAGAACTTGATAGTCTTGTGCTTTTACAAGTAAGTCTTCTTTGGAATTTTCCCTTAAAAAAACCCCATTCTATATTTCCTCGACGGTAGGACTTCTTTGTAATTTTCCCATTAAGAAACCTATCCTTTATCCATTTATGCAGTGACATGAATTACTGTAAATTTAATAAACCCATTTCACTTCGCTTTTGCATGGTTTGTGTGAGCATGCTGGTTAGGTGTTAACTTATAATGGCTAAGATGGGCTTCCCGGCTTCAGAATCTATTTTCTTGATATATTATCTGCTTAGAAGAAAAATGGTCATCAATAATTAATTTGTTTGTTGGGGGCTTCAATTTCAAATCTAATAGTATGTTACTCAAATTTTGCCTGCATGTAGTGTTTTTTATCCACGGTGCTTTTCGCTCAAATAGTATTCTCATTTTACTATCATAGGCACATTTTTTTACAAGTTTACAACATATATTTCGTTATATATATAATTTTAACATATTTTGCATGCTTCAGGTTGAGTCAGAGTATCTCCCCCTGTACAGTAATTATGGCATAGGTCTTACCACATGGAGTCCGCTTGCATCTGGAGTTCTGACTGGGAAATATAATTCAGGAAACATTCCACCTGATAGTCGGTTTGCTCTAGAAAATTACAAGGTAGAAATTTACTTTAAATTTACAGTTCTTGTTGCTGAGGTATCCATTCCAACATATATGGACATCTTAAAATTTACAGTTCTGACATATGCAGTTTCTTGTTGAAGTGCTCTCCTCACTCTTTGTTGTTATATTTGTTGTCTCTTAACTTGTTAAGTTCTTATCATTTCTTCTTAGTTAAAGTGATAATGAACACATTCGAACATTCACTTTTTGGCTCTGCATGATAGAAATGGATGCACAATCATGCATTAGGTTGGGGGCAATGATTTGTCTGGTGTTGCCCCATTTTTGACATTTCATGTTTCATATATTAGTTTCCGTAGCAGGGTTAACCATAGACCTCTTTAATTGAGTGTTCGTCGTTGTTAATGTTGCTCCATTAAAGATTTTTTGTGTAGTGTGTAGGTCTTTTGACTCCTTCCCTGTATTGGGTAATGGAAGAAACTAGGGGAACAAACATAAAACAAATTTGGGTAAATTTCACAAACCTCCCCTGTTTTTCGCCTACTTATAGGTTTTTCTGTCATACTTCAAGAATTGACATTGACTTCCCTTGTTAGAGTTGTGGGAAATGTGGCATTTCAGGCTCACACAACAAGTGGCCTGCAGAATCACAACATTTTGCCTATCATTTCTTGTTTGAACAAATCTAAGTCTTATCACCACCTATCAAAACCGACTGACTACCATATTTGCTTAGTGATTGATCCATGACCATCATCAACACCCTCCATAAAGAACCAATCGATGTATACTTCTACCGGACTCAACAATGCTCTTATTATCTCCAACAGCATTACCACCCTGCATTGATTCAAACATCACAATCAAACTATGATCGCCACTCATCTCTATCCCAACTTCATTTCTGCCAAACTCGGACTCGACCCTGGCCGAGTCCAAGTTGACTTAGCCAAGTTGGTAAAGTTTTGAAACATTAGTCAGGCCAACTCACATACAAGACTTGCTGTTCATGTTTCTACTGTCTATTGGGTTGCACAAAGTGTACTTTCGCTGTTGGGTTGCACAAAGCACACCCAGCTATGCTGGCGTGACTAAGAGTGTTAAACCACATTTGCTTGCCCCTCTATAGTCGCTAAACTAAGAACCTCAAGCCATCTCAAGCTCAATGTTATGGGCTGGCAACAAACTATGAGGAAATATTGAAGGAAATATAACTCAGCTGTTGGAAGCTCGGAGGGTTGACAGATGGATTCCTGAGTTAGTTTCTGCATGTATAATATTGAAGGAAATTTTTAGGGACAATGTCGCTAATTTCCTTTTAGTTAATAAACTATGTCGGGATAGAATGAATATAACTCTTCCTTCCTCCAGAAAAATTATCAATTTTCTTGAAAGTACTCATGCTTGGCTCCTATTTCATACTGTTTGTTTATATTGGTATTGTGCTTTTGGGTTCTCAGTAGTACAAAAGGACTGCTGGGTTATATGGAATTTCTGGTTCTGGACACCAGATATATGATATATCTTTGTTGAGGCTGGTTATCCTGGTATTGTGCTTTTGGGTTCTCAGTAGTACAGAAGGACTGCTGGGTTATATGGAATTTCTGGTTCTGGACACCAGATATATGATATATCTTTGTTGAGGCTGGCTATCCTCTCACCTCCTTAAACTCAGGGTATGGCTTGTTATATGTTATATTGCATAATCAGTATGAGTGCTTAACTCATTTTAAACATCCAGGTGTCCAACAATATGGTTTGGTATATGTCATATAGCATAGGGAGTATGATTAGTTAACCCATTTTAAACATCCATGTGTAGCAGGAGACTTGACTCTTGGATCCCACTATATAAGCTTTTACTTAAATTCCTATGCCATCCCCCACTAATTAATAAATCACATAATTGCCTCAAGTCTTTAAATTCCACATTTTCTCGTAAATAACAAAAACAAACCAATAAAAAAGAAAACAATGGAATTAAATTAACTAAGAAGCAATTTACACACAAAACATAATTAAATAGCGTAATAAAAATCCAACATATCACAGTTGGCGTGATAACGTTCCTATAGAATTTTCCTTTTAGGCCGTGTTATATACTTTTATCACATAAAATTCCACTAGCTTGCCTCCATTTTGTCCCCGCTCCAATTCTACTAGTTACACTTACATCTCTATCTATCTCTCCATCCTTTTGTATTATCGATCCTAGGTACCGAAAGTTTGGTATTGAAGTGCTATCATTATATTATCGATGTCCAAATTGTTATTAAATTTGCACTCCATATCCTCGGGGAGAAGTTTGATCATCTCCAAAGTATAGATTATAGAATTGTGTATCTAAAATATACATTATAGAATTGTTTGTTTTCCAGATGGGAGTTATTTGGAAGAATTGCTAAGCGAGTATGACTTATTGATGTCTCTCACAAATTGAACCATAAGTTTAGGCATGTACAGGTGGGAGTTCTTGGAAAGACTATTGTTGTTTTTCCCTCAGCTATTTGGAAGTTGGAAATAGCTATGAAATTAAGATAGAAAGTTTAGCTTTTCTAGAATATCCTAAGGAAGAGTATTTTGAGGATTGTTGGCTCATTGTTTAGTACAGGGTGATTTTTTTTTGTGCTGGGTGAGATGCCGAATGTTATTTGATGGAAATAAAGAATATCTTCGTGTCGTTATTCATAGCGAATTCATCAGTGGCTAGAATAATCCCATGGAGATGAGCGCATCGCTCGGTCTCATTTACCTATGAATGTCTTCCATACTTCTGCTATTGTTGTGGGAGTCATCGGCTCAAACATAGTCCGGAAAACGGTGACCTTCCATATGGTCCTGGTCTGAGAACAGAGCTATCTGCCGGCAAATTAATCCAGCCACTTCATCTTCGTTCCTCCCTGATGAGAGCCAAAAAAGCCTTCACCCATAACTCTGAGGTCTCAACGAGCCTATGAGAGATTGGATATAGTTTCCTTGCTTCAGGAAGAAATTTGTGAGACCTGTTGAATTCTTATGAGGCACCTCCTTTGTCCAGAATATTTCAGCCCAGGGGTTTAGAGTCTACTATTGCTTGAGGGGCCTGGGTTCTTTTTTCTGTTTTTATTTTTTTTTCCGTTTGTGTCACAGATTCACAGTGTGGATGGTTTGGTTCAAAAGGTGGTTGACCTAATGCTTTCAGGAAATGGGCTTAATTGGCAGATCTCTATGGATGGCAATTCAGCCCAGTAGCTTTGGGTCTCCCGTGCCCTTTTGTATTTTGATCCATTTCTCATTGGAGTGTATTTTTGTTGGTGGGCTTCTCTCTTGGTTCTGGCCCAAGTAGCCCATTTGTACATCTTCTTTATATCTATACAATTTGCTTAAACTTCCGAAAAAACAAAAACATTTGTTGTCTTACAATAATCATTTGTTGTTTTTGTGTTGACGGAATTGTACAAGTGATCCTGGCCTAAACTTGGGTTGGGTATCTTGTTTTCCCTTGTGGAGACTTGAACCATCTTCTACTCGGAAGAAAGAAGACTGCATACCATTAGAGCTAATTTCTTGGTGATGATGTATGAATTTTCTTTAGAAGATTTGTCAAGGACCTGGGTTGGGTTTGAATATGACTTGGTGTGAAATTTGTTGAAACCAAGATCGGACCTTAAACGAGCACATTTGACTATATTACTAATTATTTGGGTTGTACATGTATATTATATGGTTCAGATATGAACTATGCATATAGGATCTGACTTGAATTTGCAGCCGATAAAATATAGATATAAACATGGATTTAAATGAATCCATATTAGTTATGCTCCATTTCATTTCTTAATATATGCATATTTGTATATCTAAATATTGTATACTTGTAGATGGTGCTGTAAGTATTGGCATGGCATCAAAATGAAGCATACACTGATTAGGGATAAAGGAAAGAAAAAAATTGAAAGTAAATATTTGATGCAACATCTCTTCTATTAGTAAAACCTGACAATTCTCCTCTAGTTAGCACAAATATATGATACACAAGCTTAAGAGGCTTACAGAGAGAGAGGAAAGAAGAACTTGCAGTTATTTATTTTTGGATTGAATTCCCTTGAAATCTGCATCCATCTCAACACTTTGTCCTATTCTTGTTAAGTAGATTACAATTAATGCTGAAAGACAAGTTCATGGTTTCATGGGTGATCAAATGTTAGCCCAGCTCCTTCAGCATAGTTTTCCTCATCTCCTATTTGGCAGAACTTTCCCCGCAAACAGTTTCCTGCTGTTCTGTGGTTTCAATCTTGGAGTTGTTCTTTTGCTGCTGTGTAAAACCACTTCAACTTGAAATCATCAATTGGCATTTTGCTTCCTGCTGTGTAGAGCTCTTCAGAATTCTGCTTCCATTTAGATAGTTCTTAAATTTTATAGGTTCTGTGGGGAAGTTTTATGAACGAGCATGTTAGGTTGCATGGAGCCCTGCTAAGGGAGGTTGATCTCTCCTCCCAAAAGGGGAGGTTGAGTGTTCGAGCCCTTTTAGGGGAAATATTGTGGGTGTGTATGTGTTTGCTTTAACTTTCGGAAAAAAAAAAAAAGTTAGGTTGCATGGAGGAATTATTGTGGGTAGGATTTTTTGACTTTATTCTGTTCTTCTTCAGTTCAGCTTAATATTATACTTTGAAATAGCTTGATCTTTATTCTCTAACCTTTCTAGGTATTATAAAATCTTGACCTGTAAGGTTGAACTGAATTATGATATTATATCTTGTAGAATCTTGCTAGCCGATCTCTGGTGGAGGATGTCCTGAAGAAGGTTAATGGACTAAAACCAATTGCTGAAGAACTGGGGGTGCCTTTAGCTCAACTTGCCATTGCATGGTGTGCAGCAAATCCTAATGTCTCATCCGTTATTACTGGTGCCACTAAGGAGTCTCAGGTCAGTTTTAACTCAATACCACACATTTCTTTAGTCTGCAGATTTTTGGATCACAAATATATGGTTTTTGTTTGATTTCAAAGTATAGGTTGCTTTTTGTGTCTGTGGATCTTCCTGAATGGGTTGTGACTTCTTCTTTCTGCTTTCATTTATTTTTTCATTTGTTTATCAGTTATCACAATAGAAAAGCATAATGTTTTTATTACGTAATGTCGAATCTAGGAGATATTTCGTTTTGAAAGACACATCGGGTCGAAATTGTGTAGGTACCAGCCAGTATACAGACATACTGTTGCATGATATTTGAAGGGGTGTGCTTTGTTGTAAATAATGTGATATGATAAATATGCCTTGCCATAATGATAAGTGATGAAATATATCGTTACATCCTTTCTATCATTGTCACTTTAGTGTGATTTTGATGTCTCTTTGTAAGAAGCTGCCATCAATTATTCGGCTGTTTTCAACAGTTTTTTTTCCACCTTTCTGTTGTTAATATCTCCCATTAAAGGCCGTGAATTTTAATAATGCAGATTCAAGAGAATATGAAGGCTGTCAATGTCATTCCAATGTTGACACCTGCTGTGATGGAGAAGATTGAGGCTGTTGTTCAAAGCAAACCAAAGCGCCCCGACTCGTATAGGTAAAACACAGGATGTAATTCCATTTTTAGCTTGCAGTGAATGTGGCTTTTTTGTACCACAATGCAGGCAGGGAGGACACACGATTCTATTGTGTCTTTGATTTGATGGTTGTTTATTTTCCGTGTCATTTGTGGACTTTTGCCCGTGAAATTTGGATATTTCGAAAATTTTCATCTGTCTTTTTTTTTTTTTTTTTTTTTGGGAGTTTGATAGGTGGCAATGCATTGACTAATTGTCCACAATGTAGTTGGAGTCATAGAAGTGTGATACTGTGATGTGATTTGGTTTTTACATTTCTTCCATCTCTTCTTAATATAGTATTTAGTCTTTTTCTTTTTCTTTTTTGAATGATTTTTTGGTTTACAATAATCTTTGAGACACCTGGATTTTATGAGTGCAACCCATGGTGTATTTTATAATATAGACTTATATGCTCTTTAGGATCCCTTTTTGACACATATTGCATCCTCCAGACTCCTATAATAATAAGTCCGAAGGATGAAATATGTGTAATGGAATGACCTTATTCAAGGTGCTTTTGGGGAAGGTTTTGAAAATAATAGTCTTGAGATGAAAAATGGCCTTACTCACGGTGCATTTAAAATGTGTTTTGAAAATGAAGCCCTCTTGTAAAAAGAGGGTTTTGAGATGAAAAGAGTAAGGTTTATGAAAACAGGTGATTTTGTAATCAAAATAACCTCGAGTGATTTTTGAGTTTAATATGAGTTTTGAGTTGAAAAGAGTAACGTTTATGTAAACTGGCCGTAAAATATTTTTTGTGTTGGTTGTCGTAAAATATTTATGTAGAAAAAATTTATCAAAATAATTTTTTTGATCAGTTTTTGACAAGTTATTTTACACGACTCTGGCTTGGATTTTTGCCAAACATTGAAAAAAAAAAAAATAAAACAAAGTATTTTATCAAAAAAAAGGAAAAAAATTGTATGAGGAAATTTTTTTACATCCAAACAAGGTTTTGAGTTGAAAATGAGTTTTTGGATAAAAAAAAAACGGGTGACATTTACAAAAACCAGTTTTTTTGGAATGAAAATGACCTCTAGAGAGGGTTTTCAGATCAAAATGAGCAACTTTTGCTAAAACTAGTGGTTTTGGAATAAAAATGACCTCGTGTTTTGAGATGAAAATTATTTAAAAATGCATTTTGAATGTAAAATGATGAAAAACAAGTTTTGAGGATAAAAAGGGTAATTTTGTAAAAAGTGTATTTTAGAGAGTAGAGTGGGTTTTGCACAAAAAAAAAAAAATTAAAATAACGAGGAAAAAATTTAAGGAAGTGGATCATAGAAGACAAGGAGAGATTTGAATGGCATAAAAAACTAGAAAAAGAGGAAATGAGTTTCGAGAACGATGCTCCTTAGACATGACATTGGAAAAACGTTATTTTGAATTTAATAGTGATTTTGTAAATGTTGTAACGAGATGATTTTGAACTAAACAAAGTTACTCACACATTCTCGAAAGAAAATGGGTTAGTAATCACTCAGGATTAGTCGGCATCTCCAATATGACATATTAGTATAAGATTTGTTATATTTAAATATCACATGAAACATATATTTTTAACATTTGAAAAATGAGTTTTGTATTTAATAAGTGTGTTTAAAATATAGTTTTGAAAATGGTGATGATTTTGAACTAAAGAAAGTTGCCCACACATTTCTAAATGAAAATGTGTTGGTAACACCTCAAAGGATCGGAATAACCCGATAATAGTCTAGTATGTAAAATTTTTGTTAGTACGATAAGAATGTCATCTCGTTACAACAAGTATGCTTTTAAGTTTTTGAAAACACATGAATGTATGTGATTTTTAGAGAGTGAGAGAGTTCATTTTAAAGCATGAATAGGTATAATATTAATCATTTTAACATAGGTGGGTAAGTTGATCATCTCAATTCCCCTTCCGCTTCCATCTTTGGTTTACTTCTATGAGAATTGTGGCGAGGGTTTAAAAAAGGGAAAATAATATCTAAGTGAACTTAGAAGTCGTAAAAAATAAAATAATCTATTTTAAAAGTTTATTTTTGTTATTTTGATTTAATTAAATAAAATAATTACATATGAATGTTCAATTCCAAAATATCTCCAAACTTACTCTTATTCTAAAATTACTAAATTAAAAGTGTTGTTTTTTCTTTAATTTATTCCAACTCAAAAAATTTTTACAAACAAAAATTAACGTGTCAAACATGAATAGTACATGTTTAATTATCATGTAAATTCAATTTATAAATGAGCGTACATGAACTCAACAAATTTAATTTAAAATGAAAAATTTGGGAACATTAAATTGCCATCTAATTTAAGTCAACACGTGGCATAGGAATAGGGCAATAGGGAGTACCCCTGAAAAAAATTAAAAACATAGGAACTCAATTGGCAATTTGGCATCTTATTTAAGTCAACGAAATTCAAGGCATAGGAATAGGGAGGTGTTTGGAATATTCTATAGGACACGTGGTAGGTTTCTAATGTCGGATGATCTTACAACTGGTGCTCAGTGTCGTTAACGTGAAGCCTAGGTCTTACATGCATGAGCGCTGACATAGCGACTGTATTGACACCAAACTATTTCGAAAACAGACGATCATTTCCTTCCATGTTCCTTAAACTTGTAAGTACATACATATATGCAGTGCCAGATCCTCCTCGTCCTCAAGAAAAAAAACACACTCACTCTCTCTGCACTTTCTCTCTCTACATTTTCTCTCTCTAAAAATGCAGTACAACAACCTCGGCCGGTCGGGACTCAAAGTGAGCCAACTCTCCTACGGCGCGTGGGTCACCTTCGGCACCCAGCTCGACGTCAGCAACCCCAAATCGATCCTCCAATGCTGCCGAGACAACAGCGTGAACTTCTTCGACAACGCCGAGACCTACGCCAGCGGCCGGGCTGAGGGGATCATGGGCCAAGCCATCCGGGAGCTTGGCTGGAAGCGGTCGGACGTGGTGGTCTCGACCAAGATCTTCTGGGGCGGTGCTGGACCCATCAACTCGGGCTTGTCTCGGAAGCACATAATCGAAGGCACAAAGGCCTCGCTGAAGAGGCTGGACATGGAGTATGTGGATTTGATATATTGCCACCGACCGGATTTAGAGACGCCGATGAAAGAGACGGTGAGGGCCATGAATTACGTGATTGATCATGGGTGGGCTTTCTATTGGGGGACCAGTGAGTGGTCGGCCCAGCAGATTACAGAGGCGTGGGGGGTGGCCCAGAGATTGGATCTTATTGGGCCCATTGTGGAGCAACCCCACTACAATTTGTTGCATAGGCACAAGGTAAATGAGTTTTTGTGCTTACACAGATGGAAAGACATTAGGGGGAGCTTCCTAATATCAAAAAGTCTTTCACTTCATGACAGGAATTTTTTACATAGAGTTGATGAATTTTATTTGTTACAAATATTTGGTGATATATATATATATAATTTTAACATATATATTTTGCGTAATGCAGGTGGAGTCAGACTATCTCCCCCTGTACAGTAATTATGGCATAGGGCTTACCACATGGAGTCCACTTGCATGTGGAGTTCTGACTGGGAAATATAATAAGGGAGACATTCCACCTGATAGTCGGTTTGCATTACAAGGTTACAAGGTACTGTACAACCTTACCTTTTTTAGACTAAAGTTCTGATTGATTGAGGTATCCATTTTGTATCAAGGTTCAATCAAAATTTATATATGGGACTTCTTAAAATTTACACTACTGACTTTTGTAGTTTCTTGTTGAAGTGCTCTCCTTACCCTTTGTTGTGATCTTGGTAACGTTGTCTATGAATTTGTTAAGTTTTGACTATTTCTTGTTAGTTAGAGGAAATGGCCGTGAAAGTGTAGTTTTAAAATGATAACCTAGAAGGGGGTAAATAGGTTTGGCTCATACTTTTATCCGATTTTGATTAATTTTATTTTTATTAAAAGAAAACTAAAATCAATTCCACAAAGCAATTAAATAAAGTAAAGTAAGAGGTGACACCAGAGTTTTAAGGTAGAAACCTAAATCAAGATAAAATCACGGAGACTCTACCGTATCAAGCGAAACAATCTAGTATTTCGAAGCAAATTATAACAGACTTCGTCTCAGACTCGTGTAATAGTATGTGTTTTCAAAGCAAAAAAAAAAAACGTGCAGAAGAACCAAAGATGATTTTATGTGAAAAATAATATCAAACATTCCTCTTAATTACAAAAATATTAATCACTAAGCTTATAATTCATTTAAAATTAAAAACAGTATTTATAGATGTTAGAGAGTCATTTTCTAAGTTGGAAAATAGGTCAAAGTCGTACAATGATGCCTCTCTGAAATTTGATAAAAAATGTAATTGATTGAATCTTATTAAAACAATACTTTCCTTTTTGAAATCGAACAAGTGCGATTAGTTAGTTTTTTCCCAAGAATGACTCCTATAGAGAAGGCTTTCCCTCCCTCAACATCGGCCAGCTTTCAATACTAGTTACGTTATGCTGACATTTTTCCAACATTATGGAATAGCATGGCTTGGTGTTTTCCCGTACTTCATATCAACCCCGGGCCAAATCAAAATAGAACAACTATGACTAAGTGTTTCTAGAGTCGGTCTTTGACCCCTGAAAAAAACGTCTTAGCTTGGTTAAGTGCAATCATACGATAAAAGTGCGACCGGTCAAATCCAACATAAAAATATATATGTGCAAAGTGTTCTAATTCATCATACATTCTCTAAATGATGTTTTCTCATCGAGTTGGAGTATTAATGTAAAAAATACAATTGGCCCCAAAAATGAAAATCAACAAAAATCCATAATCGAAACTTCATCACAGTAGCATGTTTGAAAAATAAAGAAGAAAAAATAATAATAAGGGAAAGTCGTTAAAGAAGAGAACAAAATATCATTCATACAATAAATATAGCAATAACAACAAAAACATATATAAAGTTATCTCAAGAAACAACACATGAATATATAAATAATGAAAGATAATAATCTAAAAATAACAATATCCATGTCATCATGTGGCATTCACAAGAAAATATAGACAAACAAATTATGTCCAAAAAAAAAAAAAAAAAAAAAAAAAATCCGGTCACATCAACTAAAATATACACCAATACAAAAAAATTCCAATCCAGATCAAACACATCATCACCACCATCACCAACTTCAACTCGTAAGATATTTTCATAAATATATCATCATCATCTGAGTCTAGGATATATTAATAGTCCCCAACATCACATAGAGGCTCCCAATCATTATCCTCAAAGTAATGCACAAAATCAAATGATAAAGATCTAATATCATATGCAATTTCACCTTCGTTTTTAACTCTCATGGCCCTATAGCCTATAATGTTGTTGAAAACTTCCCCTACTCTTTATTGGTCTTAGCATGAGTCCTACTTTTAGCCCTAGCTCGCTTAAGTCTTGCTATTCAAAACGGTTCAAATTTGAGTGAACATAAACTAGAGATTTCAATTAGGAATTTTATGGAACACCTTCAGTACAATAATTCAAGTACGAATATATGGCTATTAGTCACCATAATGAACTTTATCCCCAAAATCAACAATCAAACACCCAATATCAATAATCACTCACCCAATAAAAATAATCAACCCACAAGCTCCCAAACGGCAATTGGTCAATCTTCACAAAACCACAAGCACAATATAAAAATCACCACAATCCCCATACTCACTCAAAGATGCAAAAAGAAGATTAAAATGACTAGGAATGTAAGAAGTTTGCCTATATGGCACCAAGAATCAAAGAAAGGATCGAGAATACAGAGTTTAGAAGTGAATTCGGCAGAAAGAGAGAACTTGAGTGATTTACAAAAAAAAAAAAAGAAAAACAAAAACTGAATGGCACTAGCTACTAAAAAAAGTGCCACCGGTCTTGAATTTTGCTTCTGGTCCCACTTTTGCAATCACGTGGATATGTAGTGGGACATGCAGAATGCCGACTGGATTTTACGAGGGTCCCACTTTTTGAAAACCAATGATAAGTAAAAACACCATTTTGCCTTGAATCACTTCCGAAAAAAATTTACGGCTTTCAACCTCCCCGATCGCTTCCATCTCTATTCTGGTTCCCAACTCCCAACCCCAACCCCAACCCCAAACCCAAACCCAAAGCCCCCCACCCCGCAACTGCAAACTACAAAATCTACAAGAATCAGAAGTTCAAAACCCATATATTTTATCTGTCTGTCTGCAAGAATCAAAAGTTCAAAACCTATTACCTATATCAAAACCCATATCGGCGTATCATTTCAGATTGTTCAAAAAATCAAAACCCATATCTTTCAGTTTCCATCGCCTGCTGTTCCAGTTCGGGTTCGCCATTCGCAAGCTTCAGCCGCTGTCTCTCAACTCTCAAGCTTGCCCCCCTCTCTCTCTGCAACTGTTAACTTGTATGTATGGGTTTTGTTTTAATTTTTTTTCTAAATTAACTAATCAAGGTCTGTAATTCTTGTTTTGCACACTAAATCCTATTTGGTGATTTTTTTTTTGATCTTTATTACTTAATTTTTTTTTTTTTTTTAGAATCTGGATTGGATTGAATTGGATTAGAAATATGAAGAGATTGAATCTGAAACAATTTTTATCAGCATGCCAATCTTTTTGAAGATGGAAATGTTTTCAGAACTAAAATAAAAGTCATAAGAACTTTGACAAGCAAAAGTAGTTAATATAGGGTAAAGCTCTAAAGTTACTTCTTGAAAATTAAACTTACAAAAAGCATGTTTTTGAGTTAATTCCATAGTGTTGGAAGGGGCTTGCCATGAACTATCTCACACTCTGCTTCCACTAGTAGATAATCAAATAGGATTAGTAAATTGGTCGAAAGAAGAGATAGGGTACTGAGTGGTGACTTGTTCAGAAATAAATTGGTAATTTTTTTTATTAATTACCCAAATAGGATTTTCTATGTCTTAATCAGTCAATTGTCTAAAGAAATATTGTTAGTTAACTAAAATTGAATTAAACACCATATGATTTTGGTTGATATATTTTGATTTAGCCCACCCCATTGAGAAATACAATCTGTGTAAGATATTGATTTGTTGATTTTGAAGATTATTCCTAAACTGATGCATTGTACTTTGTTATTTGATTAATGTAACATAAGAGCTGAGTATAATATGTGCTAATCACACTTATCCGTAATCACACCTCTACAGATAGGTGTCTAGCATTTTGACTGAAAGCATAGTTTAGTTGGGTTGGGTTGGGTTGGGTTGATACATGATACTGATAGTACTTAGCAGTGTTTTAATTGTTATGAGTGAGATTGTGAAACCTTTTCCTCACAACTTGAGTGTTTTCTTATTTTTAGGGTTAGTTTCGGGCTTTAACATTTAGCAAGAACAAGGTTCAAGAAACATGCCTCCTCAATCATCAGGTAACAAACTCTGACCTTTTCTAAAATTTTAATTGGCATTTTTAGCTATTGGTTACGTTTATTTATTCATGTACTGATTTTTGTTTTTGTTTTTATTTCTATGTGCATATATATAATATTGTTATGATGTGATGCTCGAACAATTTATTAATGGGAATTAAAGAATTTCAGTTTTCAATTTCAGAATATAAGTTTTACAAGTTTATTAACGCTTTTAAAACTTTTTCTCTTTTGTCCTAGCTCTCTTTTCTGAAAGAAGAAAGTTGATGGGAATGGGTGGAGTAGGGAAAAAGGAAATAGGTATGTTTTTTTGCCTAGCTAATTGAATTATATATTTCTAAAAAATGAGAAGGCTAGGGAAAGAGATAAAAGGAAAGTTGATTCAACATAAAAAAGGGAATACTGGACATCCACATTTAACTGTTCATCAATTTTGCCCATTACTTCCTCACTCACATCAATAAGGAACCGTAATCTCTTATAAGGAGGTTCAAAATCATCTTTCAAAACGTTAAAATAAATGGAAGATTTAATTTCTTTCCCTTCATCCACAGTCCACCTTGCATCCTTGTTTGTGTGCGGATGCAAGTACTCAATCCCTTGAGCCACTCCAACTGCAATCTTATACATTCTCTCCCAAAGAAATAAAAAGAATTTTAAAGAATAATTTGATTCAAAAAATTTATATTTTAAAATTTTATAAAAATAAGAAAGATACATTAATTATGAATTTCGTGATTGTGTGCGGAAGGCGGTCACAAAGCCTACTAATCCTCTTGAAAAATTTCAATTCAAATTAATTTATAATGGTTAATTTCACTGACACCCTCCCAGGTTTGGCCAAATATCACTCTCAAATATCTTTCGAAAATAACTATTAGGTCCATTTTCACTTTTCCGTTACAGTTTCCATTAAAAATATATAAAAAGACAATTTTGCCCCTAAATACCCTTTGACTTGGTCAAAAGTGCTCTCTAACCTAAAAAAATAAAATAAAAAGACTATAATATCCCTAAATACATAGTTGTTAAAGGCTCAAGGCGCACAAAAGCGCAAATGCCTCCTGGAGCCTGAGGCGCAAGGCGCAAGGCGAGGCGCGCGCCCGACTGAAGCAAGGCGCGCGCCCGACTGAAGCAAGGCGCACGTTGGAAAAAAAAAAAAAAAAAACTCACCCAATAAGTATTAAAGATGCAATAGTATATACAAAGATATAAAAGTCAACTAAATGAATTATTTAAGTTAAATATTCAACATAAAGATGCCAAAACTAATTAAATCAAGTACTTGAGTTCAAAACAGTGAATAATCAAACATATTAACATAAAGATGCGAAAGTCAACTAAGGAGAAGTATAAAATAAAACTAAAACAAACATAAACATCATTTCTTCCTAAGAAGACAACACCAATGAATCTAAATATCATCCTCGTCATCAATAAGCATAACATCATTTTGATCGTCACTAAATGATTCATAATTCTCAGGATCCTCTTCTATCTCATCTGAATCATCCTCATCCTCATCCTCATCCACAAGTCGAACTGAAGAACTTCCTGCTCCCTTTGTTGGTAACCGTGAACTAGAACTAGATTTTGATCTAGTAGACCGTTGCGGCCTGCTAGCCTCTCCAATACCAGCAAAATTAGCAACATCACCCCATGTCAAGGAATCATCTTCATAGACTAGATCATGTTCTGCATCAGAATCATCCATCCTCCCCGTTAACCACTCGTTGCTCTCATCAATGTCATCGAGTAAAATGGGATCAAGAGTGTCACGCATATTATATCGACGCTTCAATGCTCTATTATATTTGATGAACACTAAATCATTCAAAGTTGTTTGAGCGAGCCTATTTCTTTTCTTGTTATGAAGCTGCAATAAATTCAACCTTAACTAGTAAGTATAAAAAATTAAAATTTTAACTTTCAACAATTAAATTACAAACCTAGTTAGTAGATAGTATATACTTACATGCTCAAACACGCTCCAATTTCGTTCACAACCAGAAGAACTGCAAGTAAGGCTTAAAACCTTTATAGCAAACTTTTGGAGAAGTTTTGTTGACTTGCCATAAGCTTCCCACCAATTAGCTATTAAAAAAAATTAATAATGATGTTTAGCAACTTTAGCTTCATCTTTCTATCGACTCTATTGTCAAAATAATTTTAACACTTAGCTATACTAACTTAATATACTTTACCACTTTACCTGTTCCTCGTGTATTTCTCTGTCTAATAGCAAAGGGATTACCAAAGAGGCCCTCAGCTTTAGAATATAAGGACAGCTCCTCAGTAATTTTGTCTTGGTCTTTGATATCTGGGATTAACCTTGCAATGCATGCATACAAACCCTTTGCAATCTCTTCATCTTCTTAATTTTCGGATTTGAATAAAAGTATTCTGGGTTCAAATAATAACCTGCTGCATGCAAAGGGCGATGAAGTTGAACATTCCACCTCTTATCAATTATTTCAAAGATATCCTTGTATTTGTCTTCTACTTCCCCAAATGATTTTGCAATGGCTTCTTTAGCCCTATCCATAGCCGCATAAATGTATCCCATGGGAGGCTTTTTCTCGCCATCAACTAATCTCAAAACCGGAATAAGAGGACCGGAAACCTTAAGGCTAAAGACAATGTTGTTCCAAAAGGAAGGCATCAAAACATAAGAAGCAACTCTTTTACCAGCTTCCTCTTTCGCCCATTTACTACGATTCCATTCTTCTGAAGTAAACATCTTCCTCAAGTTATTCTTTTGCTTGTGAATACTTGATAATGTGATGAAACATGTAGCAAATCGAGTCTTAGCGGGCCTAAGCAACTCCTTTTTAGAAGTAAAGTTCCTCATAATGTTCAACAACTTTGGACGCATATAGATATAACTATTCAACTCCACCGCCCTCTGCATTGTTCTGGAGATGGACGGTATTTTCCCAATGTCTTCTAACATCAAGTCTAAGCAATGAGCAGCACATGGTGTCCAATACAAATGTGGGTGTTCTTTCTCTAACATCCTCCCTATTTGAAACCAAACGGAAAAAAGAAAAAATGATATAAATTATATATTAATCAAAAAAGATTTAAATTATATATGTAAAGAATTTACATACTCTTGAAGTTATAAACATTGAACATTCTTACCGGCAGACTTATTGCTTGATTCACTATCTGTGACGACTTGAACGACATTTGCTACTCCAATGCGGTTCACAAATTTATTAAGTAAGTCAAACATCTTTGCACCATCCTTTGAAAAAGAAGAAGTATCTATCGATTCAATAAACATGGTTCCCCTTGGACTATTTACTAGGAAATTAAGCAATGTTCTCCCTCTCTTGTCTGTCCACCCATCTGCCATTAATGAGCATCCAAATTTTGACCACTCCTCTCTGTGGTCATTCATCAAAGCATTGGTATTATCCAATTCCTTCCTAAGCAAAGGAACTCTCACCTCGTGATAACTAGGTGGTTTCATGCGGGGACCATATTGTCCAATAGCTTCAACAACCTCGGCAAAGCTATCATACTTAACAGCATTGAATGCAATTCCTGCATCATACATCCACCTTGCAAAAGCAGCACACGCTCTTCCTCTCAACTCTTTCTTGCATGCATCATTAATGGTTGTCTGTTTTCCCCCCTCCTTTCTTTTTTGTACCACAATTTCTGGTCTGGGAATGAAATATAAATCAATCGGTCTTTTTTGCTTTTGCATCTTTGAGGAATTGACACTAGCACTGCCACTACCCGCACTAGCTACCCTTTTTCGCCGATTGTTAGCTTCCATAACATCATCCTCATCCTCTCCATCAAGGAAATTAATTTCATCACTAGGTAATAAATTCATTTGCTCTTTTTCTTCCTTTTTCTTACTCATGTACTCTTTGATTTCTTCTCTAACACTAGATGGGCATCTTGTGCATGCACTCACATTTCTATACCCTCCAGCTATGTGTTGCTTAGCCCGATAAATACCTCCTTTTGTAACTTTTGCACAAAAGTTACAAGTGACGGCATTTGTATCTTTCGGATTCTCCAAATGTGAGTAATTCCATGCCGGATCCTTTCTTGAACCATCACTAGGCATCTTTTAAAGTACAAACTACAATCAAATTCAAGATAACAAAATAATAACATGATTAGCATCATGTAATCAGTGTCTACAACAACTCTGACAAAAAAAAAAAAAAAATTACAGAGCTTCAAAGAATCAAAGGCATATATGGACACTGCATGATAAATTCTATATGAGATTTATCAACTATATGAGATGTAATATATATGCATATATGGACTGCATGATACCATATAGGCATATACCAACTGATATGTATACTACAATTTATTCCAGCAGCACAGAATTGTAAAGTTGTAAACTACAATTTATTCCAGCTCAGAATTGTAAAGTTGTGAACTACAATTTATTCTAGCAGCAGAGAATTGTAAAGTTGTAAACTACAATTTATTCCAGCACAAAATTGTAAAGTTGTAAACTACAATTTATTCCAGCAACTCAGATTATAAAAAAATAAAAAACAAAAATAAAAGAAGAGGTTGAAGAGCAGAAGGCTAGAAGCAGAGAGAGCCGAGAAGAAGAATAGAAAGAAAAAAAAAATTTAAAAAAAAGGTCAGAGAGAGCCGAGAAGAAGAATAGAAAGGAAAAAAAAATTAAAAAAAAAATAAGAAAAAAAAATCAGAGAGAGGGTGAGAGCCGAGAGAAGAAGAATAGAGGGCAAAAAAAAAAAAAAAAAAAAAAAAAAAAAAAAGAAAAAGAAAAGGAAAGGAAAAATAAAAATAAAAAGAGCCGAGAAGAAAAAAAAAAAAAAAAAAGAAAAAAAAGAAAAAAGAGCCGAGACTCGGCTCAAAGAAAAGAAATAAAAAATAAAATAAAATAAAAAAGCAAGACTGAGAGCCGAGAGAAGAGACGAGAGAAGAGAACTGAAGAAAAGAAGAAGAAGAAAAAAAAAAAGAAAAAAGAAAAAAAAAGAAAAAGAAAAGGAAAGGAAAAATAAAAATAAAAAGAGCCGAGAAGAAAAAAAAAAAAAAAAAGAAAAAAAAGAAAAAAGAGCCGAGACTCGGCTCAAAGAAAAGAAATAAAAAAAAAAATAAAATAAAAAAGCAAGACTGAGAGCCGAGAGAAGAGACGAGAGAAGAGAACTGAAGAAAAGAAGAAGAAGAAAAAAAAAAAGAAAAAAGAAAAAAAAAAAACAGAGGAGAAGAAGAAGCAAGAAGGAGAGAAGAAGAAGCAAGGAGAAGAACTTACAGGCGCTTTGCAGATCCGGGCTTCGCAGACAGCAGATCCGATCATCCGACGAGCTTCCGGCTTGTACTTCTCTCTCTCTTCTCTGTCTCTTACTCTCTTCTTCCCTTTTCCTTCGCTTTTTGCTTCCGGCTTTTTTTTTTTTTTTTTTTTTTTTTTGACAACTGATAAAAGCTTAAAGTGACTGACATATCTGAGATTCTGAATATATCACGTGGCTCTGTTACAATTCACAAGACTTGCAAGTTGCAACCAAAATAATAAAAAAAAAAAATCAAAAAAAAAAACTTTTCAAACAGGCGCGCCTGTGCCGCGCCTGTAGCCCTGCGCCTAATCCCCAAAAGCGCACGCCTATTACAAGGCCCTCGCCCTAAGCCTTTCAAGGCGCCAAGGTGGCGCCTGGAGGCGCCTGGCGCCTCAGGCGCGCGCCTTCGGCGCCTTTAACAACTATGCCTAAATACACTACAAATTTACAATTATAGATATATAATATATATATATATATATATTAATATGTATGTATGTATGATATATATATATATATATATATATATATATATATACCGAGCAGATAAGATTGTTGCCGGCGGCGACTTGCAGTAGGTACGGTGGTGAACAAGTCACCTCCACCGCTATTCTCACACCGATCAATCGCTGCCCAAAAGCAGCAACCACACTTGGTTACTTTTCTGAAACGACCTTCAACAACAATCGTCGCCGTCCATGGCGCGACCCTTGGTTGCTTTTACGACCCCCACTTTCACTATTAACATGACGGATACCCCTTTGGCCGTAGAGATCGACCTTAGGTGTTGGTCGATTGCAACCCAGTATGATTGCTGGACCAGACGTAATGATTGATGTCAAATTGAGTATAAGGTAGAGTACGCCAGCCATGACGAAAATAAAGAAAAAAGGTTGGTGAAGGAGAATGGGAAATCTCCTCAAATAGGTTTTAACATACTTACGCATCTACAATTGTGTACATATACTGGGCAAAGCAATCTTCCATACAACTTAATTTGTAATTAATCATGCACAGAATTCGCGAACACAAATTCAGTATTTGATACTTAATTACCCCAAAAGAACCTCAGTTTTTGTTTATTAAGAGTCTACAAATTCTTCTAGCGCCTTTGTATTTGGGACATTTGTATATAATTGGGTTTGGAGTCGGAATGATGGTGGAGAGGGAGAGGAGAGAGAAGAGTAGATAGAAATCAAAGTGTTGTTCATACATACATACATATATAATTTGTAAATCTTTTAACAGTCATTGGGAAAAATAAGAAAAAAAAATTCTCGGCGGCGACTTGCAGCAGGTACGGATAGATTTTTTTTTCCGGTGGCGACTTGTAAATCTATATATAACACTCATATATATATATATAATTGTAAATTTACAAAACTTTTAGGAATATTTTAGTCTTTTAGTATATTTCTTTAGGTTATAGTTTTTTTTGACAAAGTCAAAGGGCATTTAAGTCATTTTATATGGTGTCAGATGTCTAAAGATAATAGTTGGGGTGTGAGTGAAAAACGGAACAAACATTTGTAGCTTGAGTGATAGTACTTTTTGAAAGTTGTTTCAAGGTGATATTTGGCCAAACGTGAGGGGGTGTAAGTGAAATTAACCCTAATTCTAATTATAAAAAATAGTGAAATTGTTCAACTCAGAAAAAATGGAGCTGAGAGTTGGGTTCGGTTTGGTGGCCCACCCAAGTTCTACTCCCAAGTCCCCACCCATTTTTTTTGTTAAAGCCCAAGTCCCAACCCTTGCATAAACAAAGATTACACCATCTCCGGGTTACCACTCTGCACTTACCACCCCTTTTTCATTTCCTTCTCGCCAAACGCCCCTTAGGGTAAACAAACTTCTAAGACTCACATTTTTTGACACTTTCACTTATGTCTGAAGAGCGTGCAGGGTCGCAATAGCTTCAACCCTACACCGCTGAATCAGAGAATACGGAGCTTCTACCTCAATCCTCTTTCGGTAAGCCCTTACCTACGCTCTCCTCTTTTTCTCGATCTGTTTGGTTGCTCAGAAAATGAAAGAAAAGAGAGAAAAATTGAATCTAATGCCTTGTGTTGTTTTGATTCCGGACGACTTAACTTTATGAACCGGAGTTCCCTAGAACAATGGAGCTAATGTGATTTCTGAACTCTGTGCGTTTAATGACAGTAATAGTTGCTCTTTCGGTGATTCATGTTACCTGATAGATAGGGTTTTTTTTTTATTTATTTATTTAAAAAAAAAAAAAAAAAAAAACACAGATTTCCTTGCTTGGACACTTTTGTCCAAGCAAAACTCTGATTTAGGGTTTCACCTTTTCATGCCTTGATGAGGGCGCTCACTCATCAGTTGGATTGAGCTGTATTGACGAAACATCAGGGGTCAGTGTAATTTACCCAAAATAAAATTACACAATTGTTCCTTCAAAAAGCAAAACCTAATAAATATGTGGATAAACAACTGGAATGTATTTGGACTCTTTTCTTCCAGAAAAGAGAAAAATAAAACTATTAATCTTTCAAAAGTCAAAATCTAATAAACATGTGGAGCATTACTGTACTTTAGAGTGTAACAGTCTTTGTGTTGAGAGTGATTTTATGTCCATTGCACTATAAATATAGAAGCATGTACAATTATGTGGATATACACATATTTGCGTCAATCCTTTGCTATTGGTATCCTTGTTGAATACATATGGCTCTGCTATTTCAATATACAGATTTTGTATAATGCTTTTCTAAACAATTTTAGAAGCTCAAGCAAATTTTAAGATATTCTTTTACGTTTTTGCAAAACTTATGTTAACTTCTGCACATATTATCTCCAGTGAAATTACTCATCTTTGCTCAATATATACATTTCTGTAATTTTTCTTAAAAACGTTATTTGTTTCCTAGTGTTTCATAAAGTAGAATTGACATATCAAAGTTAGTCATCTTTATTCAGCATTATGCTTGTGTAACTCTTTTGAGAAATTTAAATCCTTCCCAATGTTTTATTTGGCCTTTTGAAATCTATATGACATAATTGACTTTTAGAAATTGATCTATTCTGTGTTGGATATGTGTTTTGACTTTTAACTTCACGGAGATCCTCGACATGTGCACGAGACTTCATGGAGGTGTTCATAACTTAAATATAAGTTTCATTTTTCAGAAACTTAGCTGACACATCCTAAACGCTTAGGCATCTCATATGCAATACAAGTTTTCTATAACACAAACAACATCCATGAGTTTGTCACATTCATACGCTTGGAAACAGTATGACAAAACCTGGAAGTGTCTGACCTTTTCTTCTTCAACAAAGTGACGTAACAAGTCAAGCATGCGATGGCAGTTTTGTATCCATTTTGTGTCATATCCGTGCTGTTTAATGTCCGTAGTCCCCTATCCGTTTCTATCCTACTTAGGCATGGATGATGAATCTAATATTGTGTGTTTGTTCTTGCACATTAAGCTTTCATTTCTTGTTACTTTGCATGGGTTGAGTTGACGATGCGTGAACAATATGCTACTTTTTTGTTAATTGCCATTAGAAAACTAAGCAATTTGTATATCTGATGAAATTACCTTTTAGCGATTCTAATGAATCTATTCTACATAAGAACTTGTCATCGTGTTTATATGTGATTAATCTTGTTACTTATACATGTCTATGTATAAGTATGCTGCTATTCTACACTATCATAGTTGACATTGCATAAGTTTAATGATATTGATTGCATCATTATGTCAGCAGCTATGTTACTTGGACTCGCCATTTTCGGCGAAAGTGTCCCTGTTGACATGACACGACATGGGATATGTGTTGAACTCTCCATCTTCTCTGTCGGACACGGCTGCTCAGTCTTCATCTGTTTAGGCACCTCAAGGTATATTTATGGTGGTGTGGTTATGACTGGTTCGAAATAGGGTTTAGAAAGGAAAGGTTGAAGATGACTTGGTATCAGCGCCCCCCTCTTTTCTGCGTTGAATCTTCACCGCTTGTACCTTTCTTTGTTTTTCAATTCTTTTTGTCTGACATGGTACACGTGGGTGGGCTGTAACCCACATAAGGTTGTAATAAATAATGGGTTACAACCTTACAGCTGTAACCCACTAACAATATTTATTACCATTGTTTATTACCCTGTATAAGCTGTAACTCATGTGGCCCACTGCTTTAAACTAGTATTTATTACAAATAATATAATATTATATAAACTTATAATATGTTGGTTACAGTTGTAACCCACCATCTATATATATATTATATATACTACTATTACTTTTTAAAGGATCTCAAATTTTTTTTAAACTTAGTTACCTAGTTACTTTCACAGTTTAACTAACAAATTCAGTCTCATTTCAAACTATGGAACAAGAAGAAAGTATAATATGCATTTTAACATTGTGAGAATACTTTACATGCGGTGTCCAAGTGTCTGTGTCTGATTTTTGGACACTTTAAATTCGTGTCCCCGTGTCCGATAATTTGATAGATAGAAGGATCCGACCTCTAGACACGTACCCGTGTCAGACACCCGTACCTGAGTCCGGGTAACATAGCCCAAAATGCATTAGTAAGCGCAAAAAAATAAGCGAATAAGTAAAGAAAAAATTAAAATACATTAAATCTGGAGATCTTTGTTACATTTTATTCAATATCAACTTGAAAAAGAAGACTGTAGGTCTTTATGGAGCAAAGATAGATATTGATTAATACAAGCTTATGTAAAATGATGCAATCGAACACCTGATTAATGAAAAAAGAAAAAGACGGCTAGTTTGAACTGTTCCATTATACATTGATTTAATAGAATTTATATGCAAATTGAAACGATAGATGCATATTAATTTAGCTAATCCACTAATTGACATGCAGAAAAATCCTTTACTTTGATCTTGACTAGTTTCTTTGCCCCCAATATACTTGTATTGTGCTATTTTACACATGCGTCTTGCACATTAGTTTCCAGATGCCATGACAACACAGTGTGTCTTAAGAAGCTTAACAACCATGCATGAGACTAACCTCATGAATAAGAGGGCATTGTGCATCCTTTGTCTTTTGTGATATGATCTCCAATGCAACTCGGGCAGCATCTTGCTCGGCAGCCTTTTGATGAGATAATGTGCTAGGAGATGTATAGCTTGATCCATCTACTTTTACAGTGCACCTAAACCTCGGATAATGCTGAAATCCTTCATTATCTGCTATACAGCTCCCATAATGAAGGATTTCAGCATTATCCGTGGTTTAGGTGCACTGTAAAAGTGGATGGATCAAGCTATACATCTCCTAGCACATTATCTCATCAAAAGGCTGCCGTGCAAGATGCTGCCCGAGTTGCGTTGGAGGTCATATGATTCATATCACAAAAGACAAAGGATGCACAATGCCCTCTATTCATGAGGTTAGTCTCATGCATGTTTGTTAAGCTTCTTAAGACACACATTGTTGTCATGGCATCCGGAAACTAATGTGCAAGACGCATGTGTAAAATAGCACAATACAAGTATATTGGGGGCAAAGAAACTAAGTCAAGATCAAAGTAAAGGATTTTCTGCATGTCAATTAGTGGATTAGCTAAATTAATATGCATCTATCGTTTCAATTTGCATATAAATTCTATTAAATCAATGTATAATGGAAGCCGTCTTTTTCTTTTTTCATTAATCAGGTGTTCGATTCCATCATTTTACATAAGCTTGTAGTAATCAATCTCTATCTTTGCTCCATAAAGACCTACAATATTCTTTTTCAAGTTGGTTTTGAATAAAATGTGACAAAGATCTCCAGATTTAGTGTATTTTAGTTTTTTCTTTACTTATTCACTTCTTTTTGGACTTACTAATGCATTTTGGTGTCTCTTTAGAGTTAGTGATAAGGTTTTCTAAAGGCTTTGCATCCGAGTACTTTTCTTCTTCCTGTCTAATACATACAGAAAGTCGGGTGATATATGTTTCCATTTATCTACTACTCCCTTGACATGGTGCATGTAATCTTAGCTTCAAGTAATGAGGTCTACATGACTTCAAAGCTGTTGTTCACAATGTTTGGGACCCATTGTATTTGTGTTTATTCCAGCGAAATTGACGAATCCTGTATGAAGTATGTTTATCTGTGTGTTTTGGCTTGTTTTCCAATGGATTACTTAGCTGGAGTCAATGAACATATTTCCCTGCTTGAATTTGTTTCAGAAATGCTGGGCTAACAATTTTCCCCCTCCATTTGGTGACGATAAAGTTCATTGTATTCAATCTCTTTCTTCTCTTTACAAACAATTCTTAGTTTTTGTTCTCCATTTTCACCTAGTTTCGATTTATTATTTACTTTGAAGTGAATGATAACAAATGAACTATATTAGGAACTTGAAAATGAACTTCTCTTGCAAAATAAAGGAAAAAATGATACTTCTCTAGTTACAAATATTTTGTATGTGTTAAGTAAATACTCTAGTCACCTTTGAAGTGGTCAGAATAATGGTGAATGCTGTTCAATTATCCAAAATACACTTTTTACTTCACATTTTATTATTTGTTATCAATTCTCAAAATATCTACACTTGAATCCTTTTTTAAGTTTCCAAGGAAGTATAAGAATCAAATTATGTTTCATATCTTATTCATTTTAATTATGTGGAAGATAGTTTGCTAAATCTTTCAAGTGTCGTTTAAGAGACATGAGGATTGAGTGCGAGTGTTCCCCCCCCCCCCCCCCCCCCCCCCCCCTCTTTTGAATTTTAGACATCACTATCTTGATATGATGAGATATTATGGCAAGCAACCGAAAATACTAGTCATCATAACTTATTATGTTATTATTGTTGTTTTGTTATTGTAAACACTCATATTTTCACGTTTTTAATTCATTATGATGTATTGTATAAATGGATGTATAAGTAGTAATGCAAAAATGAGTTATATTTTCATTTTAGGAATACTGATTGAGAAGGCTTAGTTATGTTTTATTTTTTGTAGCTTATCCAGGATCCAGTCTTCTGCAAGTCTATCCTAAATGAATATGCATCCAAGATGAAATTGGAGAAACCGTCTTACAGTACAATTCAACAGGCAGTTTTGCTTCCAGCTTTTGTATCTTCTTGTGTTTTCAATGGTGGTACATACACTGGTAATGCTGGCAAAAACAAGAAAGAGGCTGAACAGTTGGCTGCACGCACTGTAATCCTATCAATTTTGGGTATCCATTTCTTAATTCTTAGTTACAAATTACTACAAGATTTATCTCTCTCTCTCTTTGGGTGTAATTGGCTTGCTGAAAATATTATGCAGATGATTCTAATTTGAGTATGGTTATTTCTGAAATCATAAAGTTTAAATTCCGGCTTTATAATGCATTGCATAAAGTTGAGGACTCACACAATGCCATCATGCCTTTGGTTGTAAAAAGAGGTAACAGTTTTGGGATTCCTTTAAGTAATTAGATAGATTTTGAAGTTGAAGTTATTGGGGATATTGACAAATGCCTATTAATGCAATTTCAGAGACCTGTTCTGGACTGCATCCCAGACCTGCAATCCCAGTTCATGAATTCAAGAAACCAAAACTAGAACCATCACCGTTGCCATTTAGTCCAGTTTTATTTGTGCCTCCTGTCATGCAGCAGCCGCTTTATGTTGGTTCAACTTCTGCTACAAATTGGAACCATAAAAACAAGAAGGCGGCTAAAAAGAAAGTGCGAGTTGATCCTGAGTAAGTACTATTTTACTCTTTATAATAGTAATAAAGATGAAATAACATTAACAATAATGGTGATAATAATACTAATGAATTTATTATAATTATATCTCAAGTTCTGTTATGCTATGGTTTCATTGTTTGCTATTTGCTACTTTTTTATGCCCTTATGCACAATTTATGCTAGTTTGTTTAAACTTTTATGTAAGCATGCATAAATTGTTTCTGTTCCTTTGAATAAAGAGACAAGTTCAGGTTTAGACTCGGTATGTGATCATCATCATCATCCTTGCTTTTGTTCCATTTGGATAGGGTCAACCACATGGATTCTCTTTCTCCATTCCTAATATAAACCATGTCTGTTACAATATTTAAATTTTTAAAGTCATTTTCCATCCCATGCAAGTTTTGGTCGCCCTCTTTGTCGCTTATCTTCTAGGCAAACAGCCGTTCCTCTTCTAACCGTTGCATCTTTGCCACTACATTGTCTACTTTCTCTAATTTTATCACTAACAAAATATAGCTTACCTTTCACCCATTCATTACAATCTTATCGCTTTTAGTTACTCCCATCATCCATTGTAGCATCCTCATTTTTCGCTACATGCATGCACTGTTCTCGCACGCGCAACTCTGCTCTATACCATGACTGACCTAATAACCGTCCTATAGAAATTTTATTTTATTTTATTTTATTTGATATTTGTTTGTCACATAGGATTCAACTAGTTTACATCACCATCTTTCTTCCCATCTTTTTGTAATATTGGCCCTAGATGGTGAAAAAATTTAATTTTAATTTGAAAATTTTGCTGGAGTGGTCTTGATTTTATGTTGCAAGATTCATGAATTTTGTCTTAGCTGATTTTTTATTTCTGGATGACATATATTTAAACTAGAGTGTGTAGTTGGAGAAAATTTGATTGATGTGATGAATTCTCCCAAAAAAAAAAAAAAAAAAAAAAAAAAAAAGTGATAATTCGAGTTACTGGGCAGCAATATACGGGGAAAAAGTTATTTGTGGAGAAGGATATTAGAAGTGTTGTAGTTATAAGAAATTATATTAATTCGCACAAGGAGAATTGGTTTCTGCCACTCATGCACATTTTAATCACATCTCCTACGGATGTACACGGCAAAAGTGTCGGTATAGTTGGTCTTCCGATCTACTATAGCAAAGTTATCCATGATGTTAATGCCCGTTGCGCAAGACGTCGATATACATGGCTGACGAATTTGAAGAGTCAGTATTGTAGCAGTCCATGGAGTATTCTCAAAATCTTAGTTGTTGCTCTTGTGATTTGGTTGGCTATCATACAAACCATATCTGCAGTTGTTCCTTTTTTTAAGAAATAAATTCGGGATACTTTGTAATCTTGGCTATCTCTTACATTCTACATTTGTTTGTTATTTCTAGTTAAGATACTATTGACTGTTATTCCTGCTCTTGCTTGTTATGCTAAATTGCAATCCTTAAGTTCCACCTATAAAATTGGCTTCAGACCATTGCTCTAGTAAATCAGCAGCTAATATAGTTAGATTTTTTTTTTTCCTAGATGGAGGAATTTTTTTATATAAAATGAAACAATATGGTACAAGGAGAAATGAGGGCATACCCTCTCACAAAAGACACAAAATACAAAGGAAGGACTAAACGCCCTTTATGCAACACAAAAGCGTCTAGGTTGGCTAAGAAACTACAAACAAAACAAAAAGGATAACATGCACTGATACCCACACCCCACATAGGAAAACCCACACCACCAAAGCCATAGTCCTCACGAGACAATGTACAATCAACCCATTCCAGCAAAATCATAGAAGACTGTTAGGTAGAAGAAAAAGAAATGGCATCTTGGAGATTGATTCCCAAGATATCCATGACATCCCATAAAATATTCTTAGCCAACGTAAATGGATCTTTTGATTTACCATTATAGAGTCTGTCATTCCTCTCCGTCCAGAGGAAATACAGCGTGGCATAGAAGAGCAACTTGATCATCTTGTTTTTTTATTGACTTACCCCTGTATTTTTTATGGATTTCCCAAGCCATTTCTAGAATGTTTTGGACCTTCGTAACTGACCAATGACAGTACGACGCCAAGCTCGACCATACTGCCCGGGCAAAGTCGCAACTGAATGTGTTGGAGATAGGAGTTGGTAAGGATCGAGTTCTGTAGCACCAAAACTGAATGTGTTGACCATCTGGGACGGCCCCCATTCCAGCAAACTGCATGCCAAAAGACTTCTTGATATTTAGTTCTACAAACATCCCAAGCCGATTTGAAACAAAATTGATTGGCAGACCATCCAAACTTGTCTGCTCCCCCATGAATTTTATGATGCCGAAGGAAATGAAGCACCCCAATTGTGATAGAATCAAACTTTGATTCATCCCATTGATTAGCAACAATAAACTCTTCTAATTTGATCTGTTTATTTCTGGATATATGGTTAAGAGTTCTGTGATAAAAAATTTCTGCCAGGAATCTTCCATCACACCAAGGGTCCAGAAACATGTTAATATTCTTCCCATCACCTATTCTGAATCTACAGTTGGGTTTGATGAACTCTCTGGCGACGACTATACTTTTCCAAACCGAGGAGTGTGTCACTCTAGGAACCACATGCCAATAGGAGGCCTTACCTTTGCTCATATAACAATTATTACACCAGGCCACCCAAATTCTGTCCTTAGAGAGTAAAAAATCCCATGCGAGCATACACTTGGACGCAATATCCACATCTCTGATACGCCTAAGACCCAAACCTCCTGATTTGGGAGCAGCCAATTTCTTCCACTTCCAGCCGTGCATTTTAGGGATATTTTCATTATGACCCCAGATGAAGTTTTGCATTCTCCTCTCTATGATATTGATTATGGCATTAGGGAGAGAATACACAGAAGTCCAATAGAGAATTAAAGGAATGATGGCAGCCTTGCATGACTCCAGTCTGCTGGACATAGAGATATTGAATCCTTTCCACTGAGTGGTGGTTGCCATAACCTTATCAATAAGATTTGAGCAATCTGATCTTTTCAACAACTTATCAGAAATGGAAGACCGAGATAGATGAAAGGTAGCGTACCCACTTTGCAACCAAGAGACCTGATGATGACTTGCTTCCTTTTTACTGATTTAGACAAGAAAATCTCTGACTTCTCTTTATTCACTTGTAGACCGGATGCATCTTCAAAATGGGACATGATTCTTTTGAGAGAGAGGATTGTAGCCACATTAGCCCTCACCACCATTAACAAGTCATCAGCAAAAAATTGATGGGTCACATTCATCCTTGCTTTAACGGCAAGATCAGAGGCAACAACCTTGCCTACTCTAACTTCAGTTGCTACCATTCCGGAAAAATACTCAGTTACTAATGTGAATAGGAGGGGGGAGGGGGGGCAACCATGTCTAAGCCCTTTTTTAGGTTGAAAAAATCCACAAGGGCTGCCATTTAAAAGGATAGAAAACCATGGCGTTGAAATGCATTCCTTGATCCAACAAATCCATCTGTCACCAAAACCAAATAAATGCAGAAGGCGCAGAAGGAAAATTTTCAATCTCCTATCTCTTTCTTTTCATCTCTCTTATCTCATCTCTTTTCACCATCTCCGCACTCAAAGCATGTCTCTCCTCTCTTTTCTCTCAATCTCCTATCTCTTTCTTTTCATCTCTCTTATCTCATCTCTTTTCTCCGCACTCAAAGAGATGAGATAAGAGAGATGAAAAGAAAGAGATAGGAGATTGAGAGAAAAGAGAGGAGAGACATGCTTTGAGTGCGGAGAAGGTGAAAAGATATGAGATAAGAGAGATGAAAAGAAAGAGATAGGAGATTGAGAGAAAAGAGAGGAGAGACATGCTTTGAGTGCGGAGAAGATGAAAAGAGATGAGATAAGAGAGATGAAAAGAGAGAGATAGGAGATTGAAAAAATATATATATATCAAACATTGTTATAAAATATAGCTTAACTGTAACAAAATTTTCCGAACTTGGCATTTTCGTGCATTGAACTTTGAATTTTCATATAACTCTAACTATAAATTGGAGATCCTAAATGTCCTTTTATTTTTATTTTTTCAAAACAATAAATTTTAAAATTGATGGGTGAACCGAAATCAAACAGCTAAAGGTTGATGGTCAATCTAAGGCATCTAATGACCTTTAAATTCTTTAGCATTTAGATTTTAATTCAACCCTTCTATGTGAACCGCATGAATACTTTTTAAATTAAGAAAAATGTTTATTGTTTTTTTCGGGCAAGAATCCTTTCTAGCCAAATTTTTCTCCTGAACTCTGCATACCTCAATTCTACGTTCCAGATTTCACCGTGTCATCATCTTTTCAAAGTTCATGTTGAAAATTATGTTACAACTAAATTTGTAAGTAGTAGACTTTGACAAGATGATGATGTGGCTGAAGTTAAACCACATGATTAAAGTATGCGAAGTTTAGGAGAGATATTTGGCTGGAGAGGATGCAAATCCTGTTGTTTTCATCCTCTAGCAGGCTAAATTAAGGAGAAATTATTACATGGTCCCGAAACCATTAGTCCCGGTCAATCAATAATTGACACACAAGCAAAATATTGTAAAAAAACTGATATAAAGGTGACATGTTTGCATACGTCTTAGCTAGTTATTGGCCAAGATCATTTCCTGCGATTATAAAATAATTTATCCTTCCAAAGACATCTAAAAGGCAATAATAATACCTCCACGTCTAAAAGGACTTTACTAGTGTATCATAACACCACAAAGTTGAAAAAATAAAAAATATTTTGTTTTAATATTTTAGAAATCTAGGAGGACAGTTTTGTCATTTAAAAAGTAATAATTATTTACTTATAAAGTTAGGGTTAAAATTGCTATTTCATTCAAGATTGTAGTGCAAACGTTGAAAAGTGGAGTGCGGATAATCGTCTCCCTATATTTTATTAGGAATAATTATCTTTTTATTTAATCATCTGACTGTGCTAATTAAATAATTTAAGTAGACTAAGTTTGGGCAG